GCCTCTGCCCAGGAATGCGTCTGTAGCGTGGACCCTTTCCCTCAATTATAGAAAAAGGGGAGCAATTAAGACAGGCCTTCTGAGTTCAAGTGGGGAGTCGGAGCGGGCAGCCTGCGCAGTGCAGTATTTGCGTATCTTTGCAGGCTTTCTGGAAGGGGGTCCCCGCCTGGATTTGCCCTTTCCCCACCAAGGTTTCCAGAAGGCGGCGCGGACGGGTCCGGAAAACGGTGGAAGGAGGAAGTGGGCGTCCTCCGCGTGCCCCTGACTCTGGGAAGGGTGCGCCAGGGGCCGCAGGTGTCCGTGAGGCAGCCGCGAGGTCGCAGCCCCGCGGGAGGGGCCGCGCGCGGAGAGGGAGCGGGAAGACTGCCCGGGCACCCCCAGGGGTCTTGGGGAGCGGGGCGGGGGGTCGGGGGAGTACGTAGGACCAGGGTAGGTGTCGGTCAGAGGCCACTAGGGGGCGGCAGAGGCTGGGAAGGACGCCCAGGCGGCTTCAGGCTGCCCTAGCGTGAGGGATGGAGGAGGGGTGGGGTTGGGGAGGAGAGGGGAGAGGTGGGGAGGGGTGTGTGTGTGTGTGTGTGATGGGGGAGGGTATGAGCACATTCATATCTAGAGTCAGAACCACCCTAAGGGGTATGGAAGAGGAGAGTGGGTCATGGTGGAGCATGAACTGATGTTCATAGTAATAATGACCAGCTTCCAAGTCCCAGGCTCCAGCTCTGTGCCTGACGCTGTTCCCTTCAATTTCCCATCAAATCCTTCAACGATTGACAAGACCAAGGTTTCACAACCCCCACTTTACAAATGAGGAAACTGAGTCTTGAGGGGAAGTAGAGCTGCCTGCGTTCACATCCCTCTGCTCAAGAACCCCCAGGAAGAAGAAGGACATTCCCATCAGCCAAGTGGCCCCTGCATTCAGGACACACACGTGTCAGTGAGGCTTTGTGGTCTGCAGGACAGTCCTGTGCCTCAAAGTGCTTGTCGTGTTTTACAAAGGCAGTCACTTTGACACCCCATGTCTGCTTCTCAATTCTCAGCCCCCAAAGATTTAATCCTTGCTTGAGGGTTGGGGTAGGGGTTGGGTGAGGGTGGGGTGGGGTGTCTCATGGTGCTGTCCCCAGTGCTGAAAAACTGGTTTGTTTTTCCAGGCCAGATCTACTGGGAGAATCCTTAGGGAAGTGGAAAAAAGATCACCAGAAGTCACCTCATCAAATGCCTCCATTTTTCTAAGACCCCACCAGTCTGGGTCCTTGATGGCTATAGTGGGTCCTCAAATAGCAGGCAACATTGGTGTCCCCAAGGAAGCAACGGCCATCCTGGACGACAACTTGGAAAGGTCAGAATCAGAGCTGGTCTCCTGGGGTGAGGAGAGGGAGTGTGGCTTTCAGTGCTCTGGGTGTGGCCGTACCCAAGGGGAGGGGTGTGGGTCTCCTTTCCCCCACGGGCAAACCTCAGTTGGAAGCTGATGTGTCTGTAACACTTGCCCTTATCCCCGTTAATAGGAGGAAGCAGAATTTAATCCTGTTGATTTTCATCACTTCTCTTTTTACAATTATCTCTAATTAATGGTAGGTAAAACTGGCTTGTTTTTAACTATTGTGATGAAATCTTTTATAAAAATGAGGTCATTTAAATCAAAAGTGAAGTATCGTCCCCTGGGCCTGTGGGAAGTGTCCCTTGCTCATCTATCCGACGGGGCTCCTGTGTGTCAGATATTCCCATCTCAAGTAAAATGTAAAATGTCCTTTGATGAACATCAGTCTTACGTTTTCATGAATTTCCAATACTTTATTTTCTATTGTTGCCTGTGTTTCTGTGTCATTCTAAGAAACCATTGTCAAATCCAATGTCATAAATTTTTTCCTGTATTTTTTTTCTCTGAAGAGCTTTACAGTGTTAGCACCTGTATTTAAGTTTTAGATGTATAAGTCAGTACTTATATGTGGTGTGAGGCAAGGGTCCGGCTTCATTCCGTTGTTTGGAATACCCATTTTTCTTGTACCATTTGCTGAAAAGCCAGATCATCAGCAATCTGTTGTAACCTGCCCCTCCCCAAATGGGCTGCTGTAACAAATTGTCACAAATAGCACTAGTGTATTTTCTTGTGTTCTGGGATCCAGAAGTCCTAAATCAGGATGTTGGTAGGGCCAGGCTTCTCTGCAGCTCTTAAGGAAGATGCTTCCTTGCCTCTTCCACTTTTTTTTTTTTTAAGATTTAT